GCTAGGGGTTCTGGTAAGAGCAGGCACCACCAGTATCTACCAGTTGCCGTGTGGAAGCCGAATCGGCCTGCCCCTCCGGTCCAAATTGAATTCAAGGCCGGGGGGTACAAAAAATGCGGTAGGTACTGGTGGTTTAAACCACAAGTACACAGGGGCTCGTTTGACACTCCTCGGGCCGTCCTCGGGCCCCGAGGACGATTCCTTGGAGTCGTCCGAGGAAATTCCCGCCTTCGTTCCACTCATCCTCGGCGTCACCCCCCGAGGACCATTCCTCGGGGCTCCCACGGCCAGATTTATATATCCACAAGCTGACGCGGGGGGGCGGGCGAGGGTGGTCCAGCGAGTTGTGTCCGTGCGGACGGCGTTGGTCCACCTCTGTTGGCCATCGCGAATTCGAATCACGGCGGGAAACCAAAAACAAAAACAAAAAAAAAACAGAAAAGGGGCCATTGGAAATGGCACACACGGGCACAGTTCAAATTTCGAAATTCGAAATCTTGCTGTGCGATTGGCGGCGCGTGGTGGATGTACGTTCCACACCCGATTGCATCAGCGTCTGCCGTTCGGGGCGTTTGCATAAGTGACGATGGTGGCCGGCGGTTGTCGTCGAAGAGTACGCAGGTCTACGCTTGCGCACAACCGGAGACGGCATCGACTTCTCACCATCGTCGCGGGCACACGACCGTCTTCAGTGCGTGGCGTCCAAGGTTGTCTGCAGAGGCGGCGCTGTGTTCGTGCACGTGGCGGCGTTTGTGCAGTCGTGTGTAGTTATTGACATGATGTCCTTGGAAGCGGCGTCGGGGATGGATATTGACGGCGAGGTCGGGCGTGACGGTCTGTCGACGGCAGAGAGGACGGCTGTCACTGCGGCGGTGAATGTCGTCCTTTTCCGTTGCCAAATGGCGAGCAGAGAGGGGAAGTTCAACGCGGCCGTTCGTGCACGCCGCAAGCTGTCTGCGCTGCCGACGAGTGGCCAGTGCTTGGACGTCGGTGCCATTTCCGACGCGGTGCTGCAGGTCTGCTACGCGATGGGGTGCGGCGCGTTTCCACAGGCGACTCCAAGGTGGTGGATGAAGCGGCGGACGGGAGGTACGTGGGAGGATCTGCGGCAATGTGATGACGCGACAGATGAGTACTTCAAGGACAAGCTTCGAATGTCGCCGCGTGTTTTCCGCGAGATCGCAAAGACTCTTTCCCCACTCCTGCAACGCCGTGTGACGTTCTACAGGGTGCCCTTGCAGCCGGACCACATCATCGCCTACGCTCTGTATAGGTGGGCGACGGGGGAGACATACGACAGCGGGACGTGTAGCTTCGACATTGGCAGGTCTTGTGGCATCACGGCGGTGCTAGACGTCACTACGACATTGCTTACTGCGTACCCCGATAAGATATCCTGGCCCGTAGGTTTGCAGAAGGCAGTCGTCGTGCGCGCCTTCGCAGACAAGGGTTTTCCAAACTGCCATGGGTGCATGATCGACTGCACCCACATCTACATCGACAAGCCCGCCAACGCCAACGGGGAGGAGTACTGCGACAGGAAACGTCGATTCTCCGTGCAGGCGCAGGTGGTCGTCGACATAAACTTGCGTGTGCTCGACGTCTTCGTCGGTTACCCGGGCAGTGTGCATGCCATGAGGATGCTGAACCTGTCCAGTTTGTGGGCGCGCGCGGAGGAAGGACAACTTTTCACTGGGCCGCATGTGATGCTGCCTTTCGGTGTGCGGACTAATGGCTACTTGCTTGGCGATAACGGTTATCCCCCGTCGGAATGGATAGTCGTCCCTTACGGCGGTCTCGCACAGCACCCTTCGGAGGCACGATTCTACAACAAACAGAAGACGGCTAGGGGAGCAGTGGAGAGAGCGTTTGGCAGACTGAAGGGGATGTGGAGGTTGTTCCTCCGCACCCACAAAGGCAACATGGAGACCTTGTCGCAACAATTTATCGCCGTCTGCATCCTCCACAACATACTCATCGACGCAGGTGTCCCGTTTGACGACAATCTGTTGTGGGAGGTGGGTTCGGACGGCGTGCGTCGTAGAGTCGATCTTGGGATGCATCAGCCTTTGAGGCCGGTGTGTATGGAGTCATCAACGGGCGATGAGTTGATATTGAGGGACGCGCTGGCGGAGCGGATGAGTGCGCACTGAGGATGGCCGTGCGTGCAGGCGGAGACCGCGTTGCGGCCTTGATGAGGCGGAAGAACGGAGCTCTGTGAAGCGGGGAAGTATCGAAGGGACGCTGCGGCGGGTAGGAAGGGGAGGTCCGCTTCCCACATGCACTCGCGATTCTGTGTCTTCACGATGATGATGCGCTCGAGTCTGCTGCCGTCGGGATGTGCTGTATTATTGTCGTCAGGCGCAGTGTGCATCATCCCGGTCTAACCCAAGTCGCCGTCCGTCAGGGGGGTAATCTTCCGTTTTGTGGCGCAGTAGTCGACCCGTGGTGGCGTAGTTCTGGCGAGAAGTGCATGACGTGTCTCCCGTGGGCAGTGCGCTTAGGTGTCTTTGTGTGTGTGGTGACTACTCGTGGTTTTCGGGGCTCGTTATATTTTTTTGTTTCACTTGTTGTGTGTCGAGCAGTGGGCGCGGTTGCACTCAGTGTCGAGTGCGCTATTGTAATCGGTGGTGGTGGATGTCGTCGTTGGCGGAGTCCGCATGGCGCGGTTGGACGTGCCATTCGGCGAGATAGTGATTGTGATAACGGGGGAGGTGGGGGTGGAGATCATCCATCTGGTTGCGGAATGAAAATGCGTTTGCCTTCAAAGGCTTTTGCCCTTTTGACGACGGAGTACTCTTTGCTTATATTGGTATGCGCAGAATTGCGTTCCTTCATCTTTTCTTTCGTTCTTGTGTTCGCGGGAACTGTGATTGCATGCGTTTGCAATGGTGCGACACAGTTGTTTTGTCCGTGGTTCGGAAAAATGTCTATCACTTTGTCTGCATCGACCTATGCCATTCCCAATTTTATGCATTTCCAATCTCGTCTCGCATTATAATCAGTTTCTGGATTAATGGTAAAGAAGATGAATGCATGGATTGGATGTTCGAAAACTGGAACGATGAAAACATAGTTGTATGCTTCAATTTCTCGCCATCAACAATCAGCATTMAATATGARAACAAAGCAMCCCCGCCTCAAATACGCCATATAAAAACAGAAGGATTGATTGAAAACAAAAACGAGGCATGGGTTTGAAGATCATCAAGATCAGTAAACGGAAGGACGTCCGGATTACGACATTGCAGATCTGTTTGTCCGGTCGATAGACATAACATTAAGATGGCAAGACCTAATAAATGAAAACGAAAAAAAAAAAAAAAAAAAAAACAATTACAAAATCGCGGAAAGCTACACAATACTATACAGCAATGGTTGAACGACGAGCGGGCCCACGGAAATGCAGCTGTCGCCGCCCATTGTACCTGCCTACTCATCTACTCCTGCCCCGAAAGCAACCACCCACGCTGCCACAAACCCCCGTCTCCCCCATAAGCCTATTCAGTACCCACCCCATGCCCCGCATGAAAGCCCCTAACCCCAAACCCCCTTCCTACTGTACCTACGGTGTGGACTGGTCGTGGCGAAATAGAGAGCGTTCGCCACGTCGGTGGAAGACGGATGTACCGTTTGAGAATCGTCACTCCACGCCCGATCACGCGAAGTATTTACACAAACCGTTTGCCGTGGAGTGACTGCTTGCGTTTTCTGTCGTCGTCAAAGAAGCGAAAGCATCATCCCCTTCCCTATCGCGATGTCATCCACATCACCCACCCTGCCCTTTGTCAGCACCGTCGTCGTCCTCATCGTCGTCCTCGGGGGGGCCTGTCCCCAGCCAATCCAACCTTTTCGCCTCCATCAGGGAGGCCAACGTCGCGTCGTGCGAGAAAGTGACTCTGCACTTTGACGCCCAATCAAGGATGTAGACAGGTGGGGGGGCAAAGGTCGGAGGCGGTCTCCCCAACTTGTCCGTCATGACTTGCGTGATGTGGCGGCGGCCGTCGAATTGACGGTTCATGGACGCAACCAGCGTCGTCTTCGCAGACAGTTGCACGAAAACCCAAGCGTCGTAATAAGACCTTGGATCGTCCCCTGCCATTCGCATTATCCACATTGTTGCGGCCAGCAAGTACCTCATCGCCTCTGCCATGGCCTTCAGACGCTCGTATGATACACGACCGCCGTCGATCGCTTCGGTTGTGCCCACTGCGCTCGCAAAATCCCACACCAGACGCTGAACACAAGCCTCCTGGTAAGCCGCACACTCGTCGTCCTCGTGCTTGTCCACTATATTCGCGCCGACGAACCACAAAGGCAACTTCATATCCACGTCCAGTGTGGTGCGGAATAACATCGGGCTGACCAAAGCGCGCCAATCCTCTGCTGACCACATCGCTCTAGCGATGTGAGTGGCTGAGTGATTCAAGGCGTACTGGTACGCCAAGTGATACACACTTTGTCTACTCTCGGACTTGAAGACCCAACCGTGGATCGCCCTCAGCGAGATTGTCTGCACCTTCAACGCCCTCTCTTTCGCCGCATTGAACTCCGATTCATCCTCGATTTTGTGTTGGGGGATGGTGTTGTGTGGAAGGGAGATGCTCCGTCGAATAGCCGGAGGCTGCACTCCCCGCGCCAATGCCACGAGATACGCGCGCGCTTCTTGGATGATCTTCACTATGGCGCTCCCCTGCGTCTCGTTCCAGAATCGTGTGTCATCCTCCCAAAGTTTGGTGGCAGCATCCATTGCATGTGACGCCGCACGTGCCCCGCGCAGCCTGTGCACCAGAGCCTCGTCGTCTTCCACAACCACCCCGCCATCCCCTGCCTTCGGAACTTCCCCCGCCTCCCCCGCCACCGTAACAGCGCCGCCGCGCGGCACCGCCGAAGGAGATCCCAACGCCCCACCTTGGACTGCCACTTGGGAACTACCCGCCACGTCTACAGGCAGGGTGTTCAGGCGTTTCGAGGGCATCTGCACGCGTTGCGCAGATTCATGAGCGGCGGCCCCTTCCTTCACACGCCCCCCGATCTCCCTCCTAGGCACATCGCGTTCAACGTCGACAAAGTCGGCGTGTCCACCCGCGACACCCCCACCGCCACGTCGTGCGGAAGCTGTCCCGTCCCCCCCTTCGTTGATTTTTATCCCCCCCACGGAACTCGCCCTCGGTTTCCTCTTCGGGGGTTGTTCCTCTTCCTCTTCAAAGTCGTCGTCCTCGTGCATCATCTCCTGTTCCTCCACCACCTCCTCATTAACGTCTCGAGTACTACCTGCGGCCCCGCCGCACTGAAAACCGACTATACATTGGATGGTTTGGTGTATTAATGATTCCTACTCTTATCATTGCTTTTATTGCAGCTCCTCCAGTAGATATCGATGGCATTCGTGAACCTGTTTCTGGTTCTTTGCTTTATGGAAATAATATAATCTCTGGTGCTATTGTTCCTACATCAGCAGCTATTGGCTTACAATTGGAAATTTCTTCTCGTTTTTTTACAGAAAATAGAATTTCTGAGAAAAGAAAATATTGTTTTCTTTCTTTTTAAAATTGTAAGTCCTTAAATTGCATTGTTTAGACAATGACTTAAAAGTAATCTTTTTTTTTGTTTACTATGTCTAGTGAAATTATTCATAAAACTTTCTTGAGAAAATGAAGATCTTTTGGAATGAAAGTTATGATATCTTCCTCCATTATTTACTAAGAATTAGAGTAGATCACGGCAATTGCTTGCTGAATGTTGTCGTCGCCAGGATGATGCACGTCGTCATAACTTCAGCCGAGTAGACACACAGTCCTAAGCGTAAGCTCCACTCCCCCACCGCACCAGTCTCCCTGCACGGGGCCCCAAGGGGAGCAGGCCTGCTTGTGAATTGTATGTTGCCACGTAGGCACCGTCTTCCGTAGTAGTGAAGTCTTCGTTCCGCCTGTTGGTAGTTTCCTCCTAGGCGGATCCTCACCCTCGTCACGGCACACCCACCTGTGAAAGCTGCTCCTCCCTCCTCTCGTCTGCTTTTCCACTGCGCCAACCTCCCACCTTCCTCTTCTTCTTCCCACCTCCCTCCTCTCCTTCGTCCCCCCCCCCCCCTTCTCACGTGTCACGCAGCTTTCAGACCGTGGTCGTAGGCGCGTTCGTCAGCGCGAACCCGTCGCGTTGTGTGCGCAAAAGCCGGCGCCCCGACTTGTTGAGCTTCCTTATTGAGCTTAAATGTGAAATTCAAATATTGTGGTGGATCCGAAAGGAAGGCCTCCGCGTCTGTCGGATGGGGTGATGAATGTATCCCCATACCCGTTACTTGTTCATCCTCGTGGATGTGTTCGTGGACACATTTTATTGCCACGATACATCACTATGAAGACTTACGTGAAGGAGATCGTACCAACCCATGAATTCGGGTGCACAGCTGTTCTTCTTTGTTTTATGTGCCATTTCAATTCATTTTAAATCAGAAAATGATCCATTCATGAAAATAAAAAATCACTTTGTCTTTTCCAAAAAGCCATAAAATTGCGTCACACATCCTAGAATACTTCGCTAGTGGGTCCAGGCCCCAGGTGCCCATGTACTGGTGCTTTATTTATTATTATTTTTTATTATAATTATTTTTTTTTAAAGCTATATTCTTCTCTCAATTTCACCTCACACTACCTACCTACCACTTTTTCGTTTTCTTTGGGGAAGAACTGGGAACTTCTACTGAACAGTAATAAATTAAATGCTGATTTGTAAAATAAAATGTACTTCCAGAGTCCTCTTGGTGCAGTCACGGTTTCAGTTTCAAATCTACTCCCGGCATCCCTCGAATACAACACATCCCCACCCAACCCTAAAGCCTTTTTTTTTTTTTTTTTTTTTTTTAAGCCTTGGCTGTCTACTAGAAGGGGTGATAAGAGCAGCCCCCAGTAGTAGTAGTCACCAGCTGCTCCATCTATTGGTGGGGAGCTGGACCAGACCCAACCCTAAAGCTAGGTTGTATACATTCACGCTTTTCCTCGCTTTGGAGCAACATTTGCGAAATCATGACTGAAACGCATTTTCAAACTGAAACCGTGACTGTGCCCTAGTTTTCCCTTGAAAAACAGAAAGCTTCCTTGTTCACTGCGAGGAATTGCCAGGGCAGAAAGCATCCATGTTTTTTTTTTTTTTATATATATATATTTTTTATATGGAAGTCCAGGTGTTGTAGAGGCCAGCTTCCATGTTCACTGCGAGGAATTGCCAGGGTGTCGTCTAGATCATGTTTATCGCGAGGGATTGCCAGCAGAGCCTGAATGTAGGCTGCGATTGTGGGAACTCCCTAGTACAAGTACATGATACATATGCCCCGAGAAGACATGATGTCACTCTCCCATAGGTTCCAGTGGCACTTGTATGGTGGTGGGGCATATGCAATTTCATAATATTATTATTACAATAACACAAATAATAATAGAGTAGTTGAAATTGTGTGGCAGTAGATGGGAGTTTGTTTATATGTGCACAAAATCTCCTGCCTGATCATGACAAGCTGGTGGGAGTCTTTGGCAAGACAGTCTGTCAGTGTACTTGTGGCTGCCCTTTTCGTTGGCAGATGTTTTTTCTTTTCTTTTCTTTTCTTCTGCTGTTGTTGCCATGCCCCTCCTCCCCCCCCCCCCACACCCCACCACCACCACCATGATGATGGCAATTCTACCACCGCTTTTTCTTTTTCCTTCTTATGTGGAACCAAAAATGAATGGCCCTACCGTAGCCATGTGGCTGCTTTTGTCTCCTCCTCTGATGGTGGGAGGTATGGAGGGAGGGAGAGAAGGAAGAGGGGGGGGGGAGGGGGAAGGAAGGAGGGATTGGGGAGGGGGGGTACAGTGTTCTTAAACCACCTGTACACCCATACATCGGCCGTCGAGGCCGGTAATGCGACGAAGGCCACCGATTGAATTTATCAGCGGCGGCCTGGCCCCGCCCGCCCCGAACTTTTCGCTGGTGGGGCCGAGTCCATTTCTGCAAGGCTGGGGCCGCGTACTGGTGGTTTAAGCCGTATTTATGGGCCGTGATATGCACACGCCTTACAGCTGAGCTTGGCATGGAGAATCTCCTCTTAGGCTCTCACCCTTTCTGAGAGGGCACGGCGACGTTTATAAGGATTGTGCTCCACTGTACTTGCTTTGTGAACTTTCCCTAAGCGCGGCACAAAGCGAAGCCCGTAAGAAAATTTGGGGCTCCACCCACTGGCCCTTTTATGAATTATCACGAGAAGGGTGCCTGAATCCATGCTGCCTCCCACAGACCTGAGCTCGAGCCCTGCCAAGAAACGTCCGAGAGGTTGTCTTCCACCGACGGCCGCACCTTTCGTGGGTCCCGGTGCCCCTGTAGCAATTTCTTGGGAAAGAGGCCATGCAACGACCTCTCCATTTTGACCAACCGAAGTGGAGCCGTCAGACGTACTCCAACTTCCTGAACTGAAAACACCAAAAAGTCGGGCGACTGGAAAAAACTAGGGGAAAAGCCGTGGAGGACAGTCTATTAAAAACTTTAAAAGAAGGTGTAACTTCAGGAGAGTCACAAACAGGAGTTATAATTGCACTATGGGGCAAGAGACAGTTTGCAATTGCACTGCACGCACCCTACGTGGACAGAAAGCTGGGTTGTATAAATTGCCCGAACTGCAATCCGAAACTGTATCTTGGCCCAAAGTGCAGTTATAACTCCTCTTTTTTTTTTTTTTTTTTTTTTTTTAAACTACACTATGTTCTTCTCTCAAATTCTTTTTTCGCCTTTCATAACCATACTTCTCTAATGACACTGTATATGATCTGTATATGGGACGCTGGACCGGCTTTCCAGCAGGTGATGCTCCCCACCAATAGATGGAGCCTCCCCCTGGGGGCTAGTGGTGACTGCTCGTATCAGCAGCACTAGCACTGGCACTGTGAAGCAAACGATTCAAATGTTCAGGGACGCTGGACCCGCTTTCCAGCAGGTGCTGCTCCCCACCAATAGATGGAGCCTCCCGGGGATTGCTAGGGGTGTCTGCTCTTACCAGCACCCCTAGCATTCTAACGGGCTGTTGTCATGTCAAAAAAAAAAAAAAAAAAAAAAAAAAAAACCGGCAGGGGTTGTTAAAAAAAAAAAAAAAAAAAAAAATCCTACCACTACTCCTAAGACTATATAGAGGGGACCCCTGCAAGCATAGGGCCTCGCAAACGAGGTAATTCATGTTGCCCCCCGCCCCAACAGCGTTAGTCAGAGATGGGGTGGGGCCGCCGGTGGGGGTCCGGCTAACGCAAAGACAGAGCATTTAGACAGTAGCTGCGCCTCCCTTTCTCATCGTCCCCCACCCCTCATCGAGTAGCAGCAGAGGCTATGGCCAACACTCTCCCACACACCACATACAACCCACTTGCGCTCACACTCACACCCGTGTTGGTCATAGACCCTGCAAATATCGCTCAGGGGGTATCCAGAGGACTATCACAGTCTGTTGGCACTAAGTGCGCCGCAGCCGGCCATGGGGCTTGAACCCACAACCTCCTGAATGCCACTCGCATGCCTAACCCACTCCTGAATGCCACTCGCATGCCTAACCAACTGAGCTAGGCCGCTGGATTATAACTCATTTTTGTGACTCCCGCGTAGTTTCCGCCTATTAATTTTGTGACTCCCGCGTAGTTTCTACCTATTAAAAAGAAAAAAGTCGCGGCCATGTCTAAGGGCATACTCACAGGGTCTTCTTTACTTGTTGCTATCGGATACATCCACATCCGGTCGTAAATGTGGTCAGATACATATAACATAAAGATAGGTGCCTCCTTTCTTTCAAACTGATGTGTGAAATCTTTTTCAAGTGAGCAGAACCCTCTCCATATTTATTGGGTAGGTGCCACTGGGTGGTCTCTTTTTTCCCTTCTTTTTTTTAAAAAAAAGGGCCATGGCCTTGAGGTATCATCATTGAGCTGACCGGCCCCAGGCAATTCAGGCAATTCAGAAATATCTGGTTTTATTCATCTAGAACCATCATCTGGATTCAAACTTGGATCCGTATCTCAACCTTTCATGGGTGTACCCACTGAGCTAGGCCCATTGGTCTTCTTTTTCTTTCTTTTCTCAAAACTTTTTTTTAAAATATTTCCAGAGAATAACCCCGAGTTGATGCTAGGGGTGCTGATAGGAGCAGGCACCAATAGCGCTCCCGGGAAGGCTCCATCTATTGGTGGGGAGCAGCACCTGCTGGAAAGCGGGTCCAGCGTCCCTGAACATCGTAGCTGTTTGTGTGAACATATTTGTGACTATACCGACTGTTAGCTTTTTTTTTTTTTTTATAACAAAAAAAACAACCCGATTCGATGCTAGGGGTGCTGGTACAAGCAGACACCACTATCATCACCGGGGAGGCTCCATCTATTGGTGGGGAGCAGCACCTGCTGGAAAGCGGGTCCAGCGTCCCTGAACATCGTAGCTGTTTGTGTGAACATATTTGTGACTATACCGACTGTTAGCTTTTTTTTTTTTTTTATAACAAAAAAAACAACCCGATTCGATGCTAGGGGTGCTGGTACAAGCAGACACCACTATCATC